CCCTTCGCGAGGGTCTTGGGTGCTTTGTTGGTGAAGATGGGTCGTACGGCCTGCTGGCTTAGCCACGCCGCGGGCCGCAGGCAGGCAAGTCTGGGGACCCCCATTCCCAGGACGCTGACAGTAGTCCCCGGGCCCAAGGTGCGCTCGGGCTTGGCTTCGCGGTGAAGCCAAGGTCAAGCTTTAAGTGCCACGGGCCCCCAAAGCCCGCGACCTCGGTTGACGCGTGGTGGTTGATTGGACATGGGCGTCTCCGCTTCCCCACGCTGTTTTGGCAACTGCTTGATCTGACAAAAGGCTCGCGCGGGCGGCACTTGCCTTCATTGCTTCTTCCTCGCCTCACTCCAGATCCCCTTTCTTGCTCTTCTCCACCGCTAGCTATAGATCTGCTCCGGCCTCGCTCTGCATCTGCTGCCCATGGCGCCGCGCAAGGTGAAGACTTCGTCATCCCCGGCTTGGTACGAGCCCGCTCTTGAGGCACCTACTATCACGAAGAAGAGACTTGCCTCCGTGCGCCTACTGACGGCGGGCGAGAGCAACGAGTGGGGGAAGACGGAGCTCCGGCTTGCCTCCGACGAGCCGGAGCCTGAGAGGAACACCTTCTTTCCCTTCTTCTCGAGCAGCGTTGCCGTCGGGTTGGTTCCTCCCTTCTCTGATTTGTTTTATGAAGTCCTCGACCACTATGGGCAGCAAGCATTGCACCTCCATCCCAACTCTGTCCTCCTCCTGTCCATCTTTGCCTACTACTGTGAGGCATACCTGGGCGTGATGCCGTCCGTGGCGCTCCTGTGCCATTTCTTCTTCCTCCGCATCAGCGAGGGCCACATCTCTGGATGCGCTAACTTCGTCGCGTCCGGCAAGGCCAACTCGATCTCGAGCACCGGGAAGAGGGCCGACAACATTCGATCCAAGTGGGTCATGGTAGACGCCAAGCTCGCCCATCCATGCCTGGTGTTGTCGACGGAGGCGCCTCGGCAAGGCAAGGAGTGGCCCAGGGCGGAACTTGTCGACGAGCGGGCATCGTCAGTGTTGGAGCAGATGATGGCTGACCTGAAGCCGGGCAATGCAAGGGCGGCCAAAATAACGGGAGCGATGCTCCTGAGGGAGTTCTTGACACTGCGGGTCGCCGCACTCTAGGCGCGCACGCCCCTTCTGGCAGCTTGAAGAAGGGGAAAACAAGGCCCATCTGAGGCCGGGGGACCTGCCTGACGACGAACTGGACGCCGTCCTGCACCTCATAGTTGGAGACAACCAGGAGTACCCGCCTAGCGCCTTCATTCCCCTGTTCCAACGCAGGGACCGGGAGGAATTCATCGCCTCTAGGCCGACTTTTGCTGCGCGCGGGCTGGTGCCGCCTGTGCTTTCGGGAGCTCCTTCCGCGCCAAAGCCCGTGGAGGTGTCTTCTGGCGAGTCCCGCGGAGAGGGGGAGGAGGAGGAGGACTCTGAGGAGACCCCGGAAGAGGTGGAGGAGACCTCCCCTCCGAGCAAGGCCGAGATTCTCTGCGCCCTTCCTGATGATGCTGAGGCCGCCGCCAACCAAGGAGGGAAGGAGCAACCCCTCGTCCCGATGAAGGGTAGGTCGTCGCTGGTGGACCGTGGTGCCGCCTCCACTCCAACACCTCCTAGGGCTGGATCCGGTTCCGCCTCCGCATCGCATGGTGCCACCAGAGCTCGAGCGCCTGCTCCTCAGGTCCTGATGCTGTCGGGCCTCAAGCTTCACAAGTGAAGGGTGGAGTATCTTGCGGTGGACTGGTAGGTGTTTCGATCTTCGCTTGGTCCATGCAGGTGCTTGTTTTTTTCTGACGCTCGTAAAGCAGTTGTGCCTCCCTCCGCAGAGCAAGGAGGCAACATCGCCCGTGCCTCCCCAACTCAGTCGTCTTCGCGGGGCCAAGAGGAGCTCCGTCGCATGGAGTCAGCCCCCATGGCCCCGCTGGTTCCGGAGGTGCCGGTACTTGGCGTGGCTGATGAGGTCCCAGCTGCTCCGGGGCCCGCGGTCTCCCAAGCCCTGGTGATGGCGCCAGTTCCTCTTACTGCTGCGCCTCCACTCCTTGGTTCCTCTGCTCCTGCTACCGTCTTGGAGCATGCCTTTTCAGGGATGACCCAACTGCAAGCGGATCTCCTGAGCGCTGACCCGCGCCTGGTGGCCAGGCGTCTGGAGTTGGCCTCCGACTGGCTTCACTCTGACTTGGTGGTACGCGCGAGGCTGGGCCAGGCTGTTGCGGCTTCTGAGAGGGAGAAGCAAGGGGCCGTCGGCGCTGCAGCCGATCGTGAGGTGGCGCTAAAAGACGCCCAGGCCGCCCATGACCGCTGCCAAGCACTGGAGGGCGAGTTGCGGAACCTACGCGATAAGCATGCCGAAGAGGCGCGCCGCCGCGAAGCAGAGGAGGAGATGAAGGCCCGGGAGGAAGCCGTCAAGAACCGTGATGCTGAGCTGGCGGAGCTGGGGAAAAGGTAGGTTGCCGAGTGCAACCGGTTGGAGGAGCTAGAGCAGAACATGAGGGTGGAGGAGGCCGATCTCAACGCCAAGGCGCGGGTCTTGGCCGAAGACCGTGTGGCCTTCGCCGATCTCGAGAAGAGATCTCGAAAGACGTTGAAGACGCTTTACGAGCGTGGCCTGGAGAAGCCGCTAGATACCGACGAGGACGGCCCCGCCCACCTGCTTCCTCTCGTGGTGAAGGCGCTTGAGGAGGTCGTTGAGGGCCTCGGTCCCATGGCGGAGGCGGAAGCTCGCATTCTGTCTACAGCCGCTCTTACCCGTGTCCTCAGCCATCTGCACCTTCGCGACCCCAATGCCCAGCTTGACGAACTGCTGGAGCCTGTGGCTGAAGATCTCTATGAGACCGTCACCGCAGTCGTTCAAGGTCAAGTGGAGGCTTTGCAGGGGAAGTTTCGTGGCTTTGTCTCCGATCCTCTGTCTGGTGATTGATAAGCACATTTCATATACATAATTTTGGCATTGATTATACCATTCGTTGAGTTATGTCCATCTATTCTTGCTAAGTTTAGTTGAATATTTGCATGAAAATCATATAATGAATCATTTATTAGTCATTGTGTTTCTTTTGCAGAAAAGTGCGACAAGGCACTATAATCTACAAGTTTCTGTCTAGAAAGAATTGAGGAATAATATCACGGGCAAGAAGAGAAGAAAGAGGGACTCAAGCTTGAAGAAGATTAAAGCTTAGGGGGGCTAGCTTAAGAAGTGGAGGGATCATCTTGTGCCAAAAGAAGGAAGAAGGAGGGCCAACGTGCAAATGGAAGATCTGATCGAGGGGGTCAAATCCCTAGCGCTCTCAATCCCCAAAATGAGGCATGGCATCTCCCTCTCCTTCCCCTGCATCCTTCTCCACCTCCGGCCGCCGCCGCAGTCAGGCCGGCGTGGCAGCGCGCCACTGCATCTCCATCCACCACTCCACACCCATCCAACAACGCATCCACCAGCGCTGCATCAGCACCACCATCCGTTGCATCTCCCTTCACCGCGCCACCACTCAACCTTCCTCCGCGCGAGTGCCCCTGATGCCATCCTTCTCCACTCTCCAAGCGCCTCCTGATGTCTCTCTTCTCCACGCCCTTGTCGCTGCTTCTCTTCTTGCCCAAACCTTGCTGCTGCTCCTTCTCTGAACCTGCTGCTTCTACTGCTTCTTCTCCCACGTCTTTGCTGCTGCTCCTTTTCTTGCATCCCTGCTGCTTCCTCTACTTCCCTAGCTCTGCTTCTTCCCCTACCTTGCTGCTGCTCTATCCTCCGTTGCTGCTGCTTCTCTTCACCCGCATCAACTGCTGCTGTTCCTTTTCCCCGTGATCTGCTTCTACTCCTTCACACTCATCTCCCTACTGCTGCTGTTCTCTCTGAAGTTTATGTAATTTGAGATGTTTAGTACTTGATATATTCAGATTTTATAAGAGCTAGAAACTTGTTATTTGTTCAGTTTGGTACTAGTAAAATATATTGTTAATTTGGGAGATAATTGATCTATTAGAAATTGCTTCGGTGTATTAATATTCTGCTAGCATATGAATGTATTCACCCCTGTGTGTTTGTTCTCCCTGTACTAGTTAATTTCTACTAGTAACTTTTAGTTGTTAATTACTGTTGTGTTGATCTGTGGGTACTAGTCTTGTGGTTTGTATAATCTCGTTCATTTATGTGTTGTCACTCGTGTACTGCTCTTATTTCAAAGAAACTTGTTCGGTTTTGTAGTATATGTTTTAGCTCCAGTACTTGTGTTATAAAGGACTGTGATATAAATGCATCTTCCTTTTCTTATATATGTCTGCTAGATATATTTGTGATCATCTCTTGTTACTTTATTTCTGTAGATGCTGATGTCCTGTGTCAGTATTTAGTTTCTAAAATGATATGAAAATAGCACAAAGAGAAAGTGAAGATAATCTTCATCTCCCTTTGCCTCTGTGTCATTCCCTTTGTTGATGATCCTTGTTGGTGTTGGTATTATTTTCTATTTTCATCACTCAACATCGTGTGACCTAGATTTAGCCGAGCATAGTCGTCGTCGCCTAGTCCCTGTGGAGAACACGACATCCGTAGCTTTGGGCGTTATAACCCCACTATACTTTCAATAGATCATTTTGGCGCCGTTGCCGGGGACTAGCGTCGAGTGACTGTGTTAGGCTATAGACTAGGTTTAGTTTATTTCATCGTTTAATTCACTCTGTATTTCTTTTTCGGTGCTTCTTTTACCTTCTTAGTTTTTGTTGCTTCGGCTTATTAGGATACTAACTTTCTGAGTAGTGTTTACTGTTTATGAGTGTGCGTAGGAAATCTAAACTAATTGCAGGTTGTTCTATAGTTACACTCGGTTAAGATGGCATTGCTTCGTGACCTTTGGATGCCCAAAAGTCAGTGCTATATCACAGGACCGGTTTGGCCAACTATTGAGACAGAGAACTTCAAGCTGAAACCTAGTCTTATTGCTTTGGTTCAACAACAACAGTTTGGAGGACTGCCTACTGAAGACCCTTATGAGCACTTGCTCCGAGTGATGGAGTATTCAGATACAGTAAAGTATCATGGAGTTCCTCAAGATGTTATCAAGTGCATGCTGTTCACATTCTCTCTCCGAGATAATGCTCGTGCTTGGTATCGATCCTTGCCATCAAGATCATTCAGTTGGAATGAGATATCACGAGCTTTCTTGGATAAATATTTCCCACTACACAAGCAGTCCGCAATTCGAGATGAGATCTTCAGCTTCATTCAGCGTGAAGGCGAGAGCTTGTATGATGCTTGGGAGAGGTACAAATCCTTATTCAGGAGATGTTCTAACCACGGGCTCGAGTGATGGTTAGAGCTGCAGCTATTCTATAGAGGATTGACTTCAGACACTCGATCTTATGTTGATATGGCAGCGGGTGGAGCTATTACAAACAAGACACTTGATGATGCTTTTCTGCTGATTGAGAACATAGCCCTCCACCAACTTCAGTGGTACAATGAGAAGCCCACCTCTGGCCCAGTTGCTTGCTTGCAACAAATCACTTCATCTCAGCAAGAATCTCTTACACAAAAGCCGAAACCAGTTTCTCCGTGTGACAAGATTGAGCTTTCATGGATTATCTTTGATGATGATGACACCATCCTAGTTGACACACACACTTCAGATCATATGGATACTAGCATTCTAGATTCAGTTTTGCATTGTGATGATTCTTGTGTGGATGAACCAGAGCTACAGTTAGTTACTTTTGATATTGAGGAGATACCTTTGGTTGATATTGATCATGTGCTGCTAGAGCCAGATATGGAAAAGTTCACCTTTGATGATGTTAGCCACATCGATTCTTCAACGCTTGAGCCTGAGATGGAAATCTTCATTGTTGATTATGATGAGGTCACTTCAGATGTCAAGGAGCTAAGCCCTACTATTTCACCTGTTGATACAAGCCCGATGGAAGTTTCTACTACCATGCCTTCCATGGTATCTTCAGTTGAGGTAGTCATAAAACTTCTCCAAGGCCATTTCAGGTATTATGTCAGCTTTCTGGATAAGTTATGTCATATCACTGATATTGCCTATGCACCCTGTGACTTGTTGTTGATACATGTTCCTGATTTTCCCAATAGATATACTTATATGATAGGGTACTCTATCGATGACTTAGAGGGAATTCTCTCTGTCACTTGTATTGGCTTGGTTGTTGAGTGTTCTTTTAGGTTGATGCTTGTGCACCATTTACTGTGAGCTGACCGAGTTCGAGATGACATTCCCTGGGATCCTGGTGGATTCATGGCATGGTGATGAGGAGAAGCAATGGGCACACGCGAAGAAGAGTGAAGTTGGAGCATGCACGAGGAAGCAATGGAGAAGAACCGCAGCTTAGAGAGTGATCAAGCGAGTGCTACACCATCAAAGCCCGGTGAGCTGTTTCATGACCCCAATCTGAATATATCATCCATTGATAATGCTGAAATCATTTGATATTTGAGTTGCTTGAGCCATTTCTTAAATGATGTCCCGCTGAATTTTATTTGACATATTGTGCTTGATGTGAATTAGTGTAACTTGATTTCTGAATGCCTTGTAAACTAGTGATCTACATATTGCTTGCTTTGCTGAAATTAGTGAAAGCTATTGCTTTCGAGTGCTCAAATCCCTAGTTCGCTAGAAAACTTAATCATTTTCTGCTTTTACCTCGATATACCTAGATCATTAAGTGTCAGATGCTGAGTTTGTGCCCAATGTGTTCCCATTCAGAGTAATCACTCACCACTATGGACTAGCATGCTATGTTCCCTGGATCGGTAGTATGTGAACCAGACTTGGATGAGTGATGATTCTTGTTTCCTTTTTGTATTCATTTGTTAAATAAGTAATAATGAATAAATAATTATCTGATCTTACCTAACAGTAGCATGTCATGTTCCCTGGATCGGTGGCTTGTGAAATCTGGTTGGATCGGATAGGAGTTAATTATATTTAAAAAATTGTGATTGTCGAACCAGGTGTATACCATGTTCTCGGGATCGGTGGTATGTTCCTTTGGGGAGACAAACTAAAAAAACTAATAATTGGTCGAGCCAGGTGTATACCATGTTCTCGGGATCGGTGGTATGCTCCTTTGGTGAGACTGGTAAAATGTTATCATTACTTCCTTCACATTTAATAAGTGGTTCAACCACAATGTTATATTTCTGCAAATAAGTGATTTAATTCAAGTTCCTTTTGTTCTCAGGATCATGCTCTCTTTAGGAACCTTTTGGCACAGTCAGCATTTGAACTTGCTAATCTTCGTTTATCATTGCAAAAGTTTAAAAATGGTCGAGTTTACTAGTGTCCTACTGCTTTCTAGCACTCTAACCATTAATTTTCACTAACTAAGTCTGAAGCATGCACTGTTTAGAGATCTACTTCACTTGACATTCTGCAGTCAGTTCACAATTCACTATCTAGTTCTTGTCATATTCCTTTGCTTGAGGACAAGCAAAGATTTAAGTGTGGGGGAACTTGATAAGCACATTTCATATACATAATTTTGGTTGAATTATACCATTCGTTGAGTTATGCCCATCTATTCTTGCTAAGTTTAGTTGAATATTTGCATGAAAATCATATAATGAATCATTTATTAGTCATTGTGTTTCTTTTGCAGAAAAGTGCGACAAGGCACTATAATCTACAAGTTTCTGTCTAGAAAGAATTGAGGAACAATATCACGGGCAAGAAGAGAAGAAAGAGGGACTCAAGCTTGAAGAAGATTAAAGCTTAGGGGGGCTAGCTTAAGAAGTGGAGGGATCATCTTGTGCCAAAAGAAGGAAGAAGGAGGGCCAACGTGCAAATGGAAGATCTGATCGAGGGGGTCAAATCCCTAGCGCTCTCTATCCCCAAAATGAGGCCTGACATCTCCCTCTCCTTCCCCTGCATCCTTCTCCACCTCCGGCCGCCGCCGCGGTCAGGCCGGCGTGGCGGCGCGCCACTGCATCTCCATCCACCACTCCACACCCATCCAACAACGCATCCACCAGCGCTGCATCAGCACCACCATCCACTGCATCTCCCTTCACCGCGCCACCACTCAACCTTCCTCCGTGCGAGTGCCCCTGCTGCCATCCTTCTCCACTCTCCAAGCGCCTCCTGCTGTCTCTCTTCTCCACGCCCTTGCCGCTGCTTCTCTTCTTGCCCAAACCTTGCTGCTGCTCCTTCTCTGAACCTGCTGCTTCTACTGCCTCTTCTCCCACGTCTTTGCTGCTGCTCTATCCTCCGTTGCTGCTGCTTCTGTTCACCCGCATCAACTGCTGTTGTTCCTTTTCCCCGTGATCTGCTTCTACTCCTTCACACTCATCTCCCTACTGCTGTTGTTCTCTCTGAAGTTTATGTAATTTGAGATGTTTAGTACTTGATATATTCAGATTTTATAAGAGCTAGCAACTTGTTATTTGTTCAGTTTGGTACTTGGTAAAATATATTGTTAATTTGGGAGATAATTGATCTATTAGAAATTGCTTCGGTGTATTAATATTCTGCTAGCATATGAATGTATTCACCCCTGTGTGTTTGTTTCCCTGTACTAGTTAATTTCTACTAGTAACTTTTAGTTGTTAATTACTGTTGTGTTGATATGTGGGTACTAGTCTTGTAGTTTGTATAATCTCGTTCATTTATGTGTTGTCACTCGTGTACTGCTCTTATTTTAAAGAAACTTGTTCAGTTTTGTAGTATATGTTTTAGCTCCAGTACTTGTGTTATAAAGGACTGTGATATAAATGCATCTTCCTTTTCTTATATATGTCTACTAGATATATTTGTGATCATCTCTTGTTACTTTCTTTCTGTAGATGCTGATGTCCTGTGTCAGTATTTAGTTTCTAAAATGATATGAAAATACCAAAAAGAGAAAGTCAAGATAATCTTCATCTCCCTTTGCCTCTGTGTCATTCCCTTTGTTGATGATCCTTGTTGGTGTTGGTATTATTTTCTATTTTCATCACTCAACATTGTGTGACCTAGATTTAGCCGAGCATAGTCGCCGTCGCCTAGTCCCTGTGGAGAACACGACATCCGTAGCTTTGGGTGTTAAAACCCCACTATACTTTCAATAGATCAGTGATGCCGCGAATCCTGCGGCTAGTGGCGAAGGTGAAGACATTGATGACCCACAAGTATAGGGGATCTATCGTAGTCCTTTCGATAAGTAATAGTGTCGAACCCAATGAGGAGCAGAAGGAAATGATAAGCGGTTTCCAGCAAGGTATTCTCTGCAAGTACTGAAATAAGTGGTAACAGATAGTTTTGTGATAAGATAATTTGTAACGAGCAACAAGTAACAAAAGTAAATAAGGTGCAGCAAGGTGGCCCAATCCTTTTTGTAGCAAAGGACAAGCCTGGACAAACTCTTATATGATGTAAAGCGCTCCCGAGGACACATGGGAATATCGTCAATCTAGTTTTCATCGGGTTCATATGATTCGCGTTCGGTACTTTAATAATTTGGTATGTGGGTGGACCGGTGCTTGGGTACTGCCCTTACTTGGACAATCATCCCACTTATGATTAACCTCTATTGCAAGCATCCGCAACTACAACAAAAGTATTAAGGTAAACCTAACCATAGCATGAAACATATGGATCCAAATCAGCCCCTTATGAAGCAACGCATAAACTAGGGTTTAAGCTTCTGTCACTCTAGCAACCCATCATCTACTTATTACTTCCCAATGCCTTACTCTAGGCCCAAATAATGGTGAAGTGTCATGTAGTCGACGTTCACATAACACCACTAGAGGAGAGACAACATACATCTCATCAAAATATCGAACGAATACCAAATTCACATGACTATTAATAGTAAGACTTCTCCCATGTCCTCAGGAACAAAAGTAACTACTCACAAAGCATAAACATGTTCATAATCAGAGGAGTATTAATATGCATATAGGATCTGAACATATGATCTTCCACCAAATAAACCAACTAGCATCAACTACAAGGAGTAATTAACACTACTAGCAACCTACTAGCACCAATCCCGGACTTGGAGACAAGAATTGGATACAAGAGATGAACTAGGGTTTTGAGATGAGATGGTGCTGATGAAGATGTTGATGGAGATTGCCCTCTCCCGATGAGAGGAGCATTTGTGATGACGGTGGCGATGATTTCCCCCTCCGTGAGGGAAGTTTCCCCGGTAGAACAGCTCCGCCAGAACCCTAGATTGGTTCCGCCAAGGTTCCGCTTCGTGACGGCGGAGTTTCGTCCGAGAAGATGGCTTATGATTTTTTTCCCATTGAAAGAATCCATATAGCAGATGGTCACCGGAGGGCCACCAGGGGGCCCACGAGGTAGGGGCGCACCCCCCACCCTCGTGGGCAGGGTGTGGCCCCCCTGGTGAAGTTCTTGCTCTCAGTATTTTTTATATATTTGGAAAACATCTTCCATGAAGTTTCAGGACTTTTGGAGTTGTGCAGAATAGGTCTCTAATATTTGCTCCTTTTCCATCCCAGAATCCCAGGCATTCTCCCTCTTTATGTAAACCTTGTAAAATAAGAGAGAATAGGCATAAGTATTGTGACATAATGTGTAATAACAGCCCATAATGCAATAAATATCGATATAAAAGCATGATGCAAAATGGATGTATCAACTCCCCCAAGCTTAGACCTCGCTTGTCCTCAAGCGAAAAGCCGAAATTGAAAAATATGTCCACATGTTTAGAGATAGAGGTGTCGATAAAAATAAAATACGGACATGAGGGCATCATGATCATTCTTAGAACAGGAACTTATATAATTCTTGTCATACAATCTCTAATGCTAGAGTAATAATTCAATCACAATATCAAGTATGAATCGTAAACTTCATTGAAAACTAACAACTACAATCTCAGTCATTGAAGAATTGCAATTTATCATAACATAGGAAAGAGTCAATGTATAAGAGCTTTTCAGCAAGTCCACATACTCAACTATCATATAATCTTTCACAATTGCTGACACTCACACAATACTTATGGGTATGGAGTTTTAATCGGACACAGAGAAAGATATGGGCTTATAGTTTTGCCTCCCAACGTTTTACCTCAAGGGTAATATCAACAGTAATAGTTCATGAAAACTCACATCCAATTAGCCATATATACCAGGATCTTTCCAACATATTGGGCTTGCCAAAGGATAAAACGTAAAAAGGAAGGGTGAAGATAACCATGACTCTTATGCAATGTAGGAGATAAAAGTAAAAGATAGGCC